GGCCACTGCACTACAGTCTGGGCGACAGAGTGAGACTCCAACTCAAAAAAAAAAAAAAGAGGAATTAGAAATATGAAAATTTTTAAATGTCAAATTGCATACCCTTCTCTGTAGAAGACAATTTTTTGCCTTGTCACTTAAGAGCTCACTCCTTTCTGCTGTCTGAGACGTGGCATATACAGCAGGCCAGGCATTTGGCATCGCTGTCCCTGGTTGCTCCCCACAACCCTTTCCCTATCCTGCCCCTTACTCCAACAGACGCCCTCCTCTCTTGCATGCTCAGGTAACTGCCACTTCCACACAGTCTTTGGGTCTGGTTAACCCAAGTCCCTGACACTGCTGGTCTTGGGACAGCCAAGTGAAGCACTTCTAGCCAATGGGACAGGAGGGAATGGGCTGGGAAGGGTTTTCTGATAATAAAATTATGGGGCACACCAAGGGGTGCCTCTCCTTCCTCCAACTCTTGTGCTTGTGTGGACTACTGGGAACCAGTGGCTGCCGCCCAGCTAGCTAACTAAGTTCATACACTGGTGCCAAAGAACTTAGGTGAGAAACGTTTTCTTTTACCACAGTGGAATCAGGATTTCCTGTTCCTTACGGCTCCAGACATTGTAACTGACAGAATGCCCAGGTGGAGAAATGCTTCTAGAGAACTCTCTGCAAAGGCCCAACTCACCTTTAACTGCTGAAATCTAGATAGCATACCTGTGACCATCTGTAACAGCTCACTGCAAGAAAAGGATAGCAGCAGGACCCCGCAATGAGGACTGTCCCCAAACACAGCTCCATGAACATTTGCTCGGGTTACTTACACATGATAAGCTATCAGCACCTAAATATATACATTTTAAAAACACTATTGCTTTGCTTTAAAAAAGTTTATTTAGCACTCAGTATGTACAAGGCACTGTGAGTGGCACCATGAAGAACACACAGATGAACAAGGCTCCTGCCCTCAGGAACTCACAGTCTAGCATGGGAAATCAGAAGTTGCATATATACACTAATAACGACCACACAAGGCAGAAAGCACTAAGTGCCATGAGATTGATACCAACAAGACGAAGAAGAAAATACAACTTTAAGATGAGAATAAGAGATTAGAGAAGATAACTTATAAGTTGAGGGCTTAAACACGACAGATCAAATGCAGTCAGAAAAAAAATTAAGAGGAGAAGGTAATCCAGAAAAACTCTGACTGAAATCAGAAGAGGAGGTTCTGGCTTTGTAGTTGGAGGTAAGGGGATATCTACCTGGGTTGGAATAAGAGCGTGGGTGAGACAGATGGAAAAGAAGGTTGTAAAGAACCATCGGTATCAGGACAGAAAGGTGGCCACATATGCCAGGCAAAGATGCCTCCATTGCAATGGAAGTTCCTTAAAGAGAGGTGAGCAGACCCAAACTCTACTTCAGAAAGCTTGAACGGGTGGCAATGTACAAGTGGCTTTATGGGAGGACGGGCTGAGAGAAAGGAGGTCAGTTTAAAAATAACTTTGAGAGTTGGGACTCGAGTAATGAGGAAGTGATAATGAGAACGAAGACATTACAGGGGGAGGGTGGAGACAGAACTGCCAAGATTCGGCAATGACTGAACATGGACAAGGAGGAGAGTGGAAGCAACGCTGGGTGGAAAGATGATGGCAGTTTTATATCCAAAGACAGAATGGTCTATTCACAGAGCTAGGACAATCTAAAGAGGCACAGGTTTGAGTGTTAGCAGGAGGGATGCAGTGAGCCTATGATGCTACCACCAGGGGTGGGGCCAGCAAATAGTTACAAGTGGAGAAGGGGTGGAGGTAAGAGTCAGAAAGACAGACCAGGAAGCAGATGCAGTGGTAAAGTTGAAGCAACAGACCAGGACGTAGATGCAGTGGTAAAGTTGAGGCGGAGGTGGTCTTATCTCACCACAGAAGGGCATTCAAAAGTACAAGCTTATTTCCACATTTTCCTTAATTCTGGAATCCTCACTGAACACTCTGAAGTATGATGATGCATCATGCGAAAAGTGCTGCTTCTCTGTTGTGTGTCCTTTACATTCACTCCTAGGAAATGATCTCTTCGGTTTGTGTTTGCCAAGTAGGAAAGGTGCCTCTATTGTAGAGGGATACTTTTAAAATATTTACTCCAATGAGAGTTTATTTTAACGTTTTGGCATTTATTTTGAAGAGCTTTGTGTAATTAAATTATCTTTTCTGAAAAGCTAACGATGTACCTTACCTCACAGCATCCAGAGTAGAAAGGGAATCAAGAGGTCAATTCTATCTCTCTCATTTCATTGTGAGGAAATCAAGGCCCCAGTGGTCAAAGGACTCACCCAGCAGCTTACACAGCACAAATGGCAAAGTTGGACCTATAAGCAACGGCAGGGCCACAGCTGCATCCTGGGTTCCTGGTTGCCATCAGATACAGACACACGAGAAATGGGGGAAGAAAGACAGGACGACAGGGCAACACTCTTAGGTACCCTCCCCCTGTGGGAGCTTTTCTGTCTTCTCAATAAATCCTGCTCTTTCACATAAAAGAAAGCTAGGAAGACAGACAGATACACAGATTCATTGACTGACTGACTGAGGCAAGAGAGGTTAGAAATAAAACATCTATATTTTAACTTTTTTTTTCAAGTGAGAAAAAGGAGAAAATAGTTTCTAATAAACATCTCTTGAACCCATCAAAGACTTGCAGATCTGAAAGATAACTACTTTGGCTTTCTTAATCAAAATAACAATACATTAAACTGTTCTTAATCAAAATACATTAGACTATATGATACATCACATTCAGTATGCTCTATAGTCAGTCACTATAGGAACGCTGGCACTTTTTGCTGTTACATGTGTGCACAAGGAAAGGCAGCTTGCAGGAAAACAAGATTAGTAAGAATCAGACCTTAGATGGTTTTCTCTGTCACAGAAGAAAAACACCCATGGTAATTCCCTTTTGGAAAGCTAAAGTTGATCTCCTCAGAATGAAGTTCCAAATACATCCAATTCCATAAAAGATGGAGAAAAAAAGTCCATTTCACTTCAAAGATAAAAGTCACAAATATGCAGGCAAAGCTCTGATGGCCGTGTCACAATCAGCTACTGTGAGCAAAGCAATGCCTCCCCAATACTCTGTCCACAAACAATCTATTGATTTCATAATTAATGCTTCCCTTCAGTTAAGGTGCTTTACGACTCCCCCATAGGTCCACTAGAGTCTTCCAGCAACACGTTGGCAGGAACTGTCAGATCTTCCAAAAAATCTTCTTTCGGTAGAGGATGTAGGCAATGAGCACCCAGAGGGCAGTGGCGATGAGGTTTTGAGTCAGATGTTCTCGGTGTGACTGGGTGTCCTTCAGCTTCCACTGGAAGGGGAAGTAGTTCTCAAAGACCTCATGGCCGACATATACCAGAATGGAATTCATCCCTTAAGGGGAGATACAGAAGATAATGTGTTTCCTGAGTTACATCTAATCTTCTGTTTAATTCTTGAAATTAATCCAGTGAAAGAACAAAAAGCATGCACTTATATTATTAGCTACTGCCAAAAATGTGATGCATATCTTAGGTATTTAAGTGTCAACTATATTAAACATTATTAGAAAATATTCATTGTATAACAATGTAATTCATTGTGTAACAATGTAAAGGGCTGAAATGCGTCACTGAAATTATTCAGTCTGGCTCTCAGTCCTCAGGCAAACTGCATCTCAATCATCCTACTTATCTCTTGGTATCACCTCTTGATATTCCTTCTAATAAGTAATCTTTAATGTAGTACATTACACATTAAGAGAGAGAGAGTTTGTTGCAGCTCTATTCACAATAGCAAAAACATGGAACCAGCCATGCTGCCCATCGAAGCATAAAAAACATGTGGTACATATACACAATGGAATACTATGCACCCTTAAGGAAGGACAAGCATAGGGCTTTGCAGCAACTTTAGAGCAGAGTGTACTCAGTGATCTATCACAGAAACAAAAAACAGAGTACTATATGTTCTCACTCATAAGTGGACCTTGAACAATTATAATAATACAGTAAGAAAGGGACTGGCAGTGGTGGGAAACTGCCGGGGGATGTGGGGTGGTAGGGATTGGCAGTTGAGGGAAACTGCTAGGGGAGGGAGGAACACACCTCATCAGCAAGGGTTCCTGCATAATCAACGTTTGTACACCTAACCCTGAATTGTATCTCACATCTTTAAAATGAAGATAAATTGATTAAAAAAACAAAACAAAAGAGAGAGAGAAAAGTCCTATTACTGGGCAGTAAAAACTGGATCATTTCTTAACACTCCACAATTTGGCATTGCCTGGAGAAACAGGTGGTGCTCACAAGCTGTCATACAATGACTCTATGACCTACATGGATAGAAACGAATTGGACTGTACTGCAACAGGTCAGCGATGTCCAGTGTAACCTGGAACAACATAATATGACCCCTGCTGCTTCACACCTTGGCTTGACTCTTGGAAACACGCTGCCAGGAAGAGGTTCAAGGCCCCAGCAATGGGATGCTAGAAGGTCTCTGGACCAGTCCACCTGGACACCACCAGAAGTTCTGAATGGGGTTAGAGGTGACCTACCTGGATAAAAGAATGGAGCTCCTGTCCACAGTCCCCTCGCATCCACAACTGGGTACAGGACCAGCAGAATGAAGAAGGCAAAAGAGCTGAGTGTGGTGACGTATGAAAGAGACCTAGAAGGAGTTGAGGCATTTCGATGCGCATAAGGAACACACTGATTTCAACGTAAGAAATCAACACTTAAATTATGCTTTTTTTCTATACCTACCAGAGATTCTTGTTTACTGGAATAAACCCTTCATTTTCAGAAATTTTGGTCAAAGCAGCAGAAATAAGCCCCTATAATGGGAAGAGAAAGTTGTTAAAATACCTTACTATTATCTCAGAAAACAACTGTGTTTCAGTTGTGCTCGGTGGCTCAACCTGTAATCCCAGCTCTTTGGAAGGCTGAGGTGAGTAGATTCCCTGAGTTCGCAGGTTCAAGACCAGCCCAGGAAACTTGGTGAGACCTCATCTCTACAATAAAAAATATAAAATCAGCTAGGTGCAGTAGAGCAAATCTGTAGCTCTGGCTACTTAGAAGGTTGAGGCGGAAGGATCACCAGAGCCCAATAGATCAATGCTGGGGTGGCTGTGAGCATGCCACTGCTCTCCAGCCTGGGTGACAGAGTGAGACTCCAACTCAAAAAATAATAATAATAATTGTGTTTGAAAACCAAAACATATTAGTTATTTGCTTAGAAAAGGCTGAAAATTGTGGCATACTTTATTCTCTTAACTGGACACTGTTTTTAATATATATAACTAAAAACACATCTCCAAAAACATCTCAGTATTCCTCTGGGCTGAAGAAAACAAACTTATTGACAAATTACAATGAACCTTGATAGGAAACATGATTGCAAGGTTAGGGATAAAATGAGTACGTGGTCAACCCAGCAATTGTTTTTTCACATGTATTCCTGAAGCTGATGTCTGAAAACCTGCTGTTATTTGCCTGGTCTTTCTGCTACAGCTCTGTACACAGAAGCCACATCTCATGTGTGTCTTCAGGCATTCCAAGCTGGCTGCTTAAAAGCAAACACTGTCATATTTACAAAGGCATTTTCCTAAGAAAATAAGCCTGTTTATTTAGGTGTAAAGATTTGCTCCTCTCTGTTATTCAAGTCAAGAACGTTACATCTTGCGATGTGGTGACAATTGCTACACCAGTGTTGCTAAACATTTTATTTCTTTTTAAAATACATATACAAGTGGGGAAAAAAGGAATTTTAGTAAGAAGCCGTGCTTACTTACGAGAATAAAACACCAGGCAGTGAATCTCATCAGAATGTCTTTGGTTCGATCCCTGTAATATAATAGGATTTTTCCTGCCTGGAGAAGAAAACACAGTATGACCAAAGGAATCACCTAAGGTGTATTGTTATTTTATATCCATCCACTGTTGAATTATGCAACAGATTTATTGCTGGGCATGTTGCAAAATGCTGGGATTACAAGGATGGATGAAATATCCCCCATGCCCTGACTAGCTGTAGCTGAAGAAGGAGCATGGGGGAGGAGGGAGGCATCAGAGGAGGTGCCATTAGGCTGAGATGGAGCAAAAGACGTCAGCATAGGAACATTTTGAGCAGAATAGAGCAGCCTGCACAGAAGCACATGGAAAAAAGCAACAGCATCCCTGAGGAGCTGCAGGTAACTCAGACAGGCTGCAGAGTAGGGAAGGTCAGAAAAGGCAGTAGAAAGGCAGGCCCTGAAGGGCTCACATTCTGGCAGGAGCCAGGGATCATCCCCCAAAAATAACAAGGGACCAGCTCAGATCTGAATGCCTAGTGACCCAACCCGGCAGCCCCATGGAAGAGAAACCTGGACAGGGCAGCACTAGAAGAAGTGAGGCATTTTTAAAACAGTAAGATATGAGCCAGGCGCAGTGGTTCATGCCTGTATCCCAGCATTTCGGGAAGTGGAGGCGAGAGGAATGCCTGAGCCCATGGGTTCGAGACTAGCCTGGGCAACATGGCGAGACCTCCTCTCTACAATAAATCTAAAATTATCCAGGTATGGTGGTGCACATCTATAGTTCCAGCTACTTGGAAGGCTGAAGTGGAAGGATTGCCTGAGCCCAGCAGGTTGCGGCTGCAGTGGCCATGAGGGTGGCACTGCACCCCAGCCTGGGCAACAGCGTGAGACACCAACTAAAAAAACACACAAACAAACAAAACAGTAAGAGCGCAGTGGCCATGAGTGTGCCACTGCACCCCAGTCTGGGCAACAGAGTGAGGCTCCAACTAAAAAAACAAATAAACAAACAAACAAAACAGTAAGATATGGACTTTGCATAAAATCCCTCTGAAATTAGTAATTAGTTTCTGGAAACATCAAAGGATAAGTCTTAATAATAATTTATAGCAACAGATAAAATGCTGGGCGTGACGGCTGACACCTGTAATCCCAGTACTTTAGAAGGCAGAAGCGAGAGGATTGCCTGAATCCACAGGTTGGAGACCAGCCTGGGTAACATGATGAGACCTGACTTTACAATAAAAAAATTTGTTAAAAAGCCAGGTATGGTAGTGCATGCCTGTGGTTTCAGCTACTTGGAAGGTTGAAGCAAAAGGATTGCCCAAACCCAGCTGGTCGAGGCTGCAGTGGCTGTGAGTGTGTCACTGCACTCCAGCCTGAACAACAGCGTGAGACTACGACTCAAAAACAAAAAAAAACAAAACAAAACAAAAAATAGTTAAGTTTATGATTGTTTTCTATGTGACAGTTCTTAGAACTTGACATGAGCTATCTGATTTAATCTTCATAACACCTTTATGAAGTAGGAGCTATTGAAGCACAGAGGAGTCAGGTAATATGTCCCAGGTTATCCAGCTAGTTAGTGGCAGAGCTGGATTCAGACTCAGGGAGGACAACCCTGGGTTTGCACTCTTAACCTCTTCACTGGGCTGACTCACCTACAGAGCATATATAGGGATTAAATGAACATATGAAAAAGCACCACCTAAGCTATAAAGTGCTATAGAGATGACGGCAGAATTTCTAAATACCAAATTATTTAATCATCAAAATGTACATATGACTCTTTACCAACACAGATTTGAAATGCACAGGTCTACTTATACACAAATTCTCTTCCACCTCTACCCCTTGAGACAGCAAAACCAATCCCTCCTCTTCCTACTCCTCCTCAATCTACTCAATGTGAAGGGGATGATAATTAAGACCTTTAAGATGATCAACTTCAGCCGGGCTCGGTGGCTCAGTCTGTAATCCCGCGCCTTTGGGAGGCTGAGGTGAGTGGATTCCTGAGCCCGCGGGTTCAAGACCCGCCTAGGCAACAAGACCTCAACTCTACAATAAATCAAAAAATCAGCCGGGCGTGGTAGCGCATGAATGTAATTCTGGCTACTTGGAAGGCTGAGGCGGAAGGATCACCGGAGCCCAGCAGGTCTAGGCTGAGATGGCTGGGAATGGCCACTGCACTCCAGTCTGGGCAACAGAGTGAGACTCCAACTCAAAAAAAAAAAAAAAAAAACATGATCCACTTCCACTTAATGACTAGTAAACAGATTTTCTTTTCCTTATGATTTTCTTAACATTTTCTTTTTCTCCAGTTCACTTTATCATAAAAATACGATATGTAATACATATAAAATACAAAATATGTTAATCGACTGTGTATGTTATCGGTAAGCCTTCTGATCAACAGTGGGCTATTAGTAGTTAAGTATTGGGAAAGTCAAGTTATATACAGTTTTCTGACTGTGCAGGGGGGTTGGTGCCCCTGGCCTCCATGATATTCAAGGGTCAACTGTATGTGCTTTAGATCTGCACCAACCAGCAGGGGAGCCACTAGCCCCATGTGACTATTTAAATTTAAAATTAAATTAAGTAAAACAAAAAATTCAGTTCCTTGGCCACACTCACCACATTTCAAGTACTCAATAGCTACCTTGGCTAGCGGCTGACCACTGGACAGCACAGAGAAAGAATACTTTCATTATCACAGAATGTTCTAATAGCACTGCCTTACAAGTTTGTTTACCCTTCTCCCAGTTAGTTACCCTTAAACAACAGTTTCAAACACTAATAAGGACTTGAGGAAGATACATCTAGACTGCTCGGATTTTAACCAATTTGCATGTGAGATAAATTGAGAGTAACCTTTACAATTTCGGCATAAAATATATGTGTACTAAAAGCCAGGTACAGTGCTGCTATGGCCTGAGTATCTGAATCTCCCCAAATTCTTATGTTGAAACCAAATCACCAAGGTGATGTATTAGAAGGTGGGGCCTCTGAGAGGTGATTACATCATGAGGGGATTAATTAATGCCCTTATAAAAAGGTTAGAGGCAATGAGTTCGATTTCTGTGCCCTTCTACCATGAGGATACAGTGTTCACTCCCTCTGAAGGATGCACCCTATTCAAGGCACCATCTTGGAAGATGAGAAATGAAACTGCCAGTATTTCTGTTCTTTAAAAATTACCCAGTCTCGGGTATTTTGCTATAGAAGCACAAATAGACTAAGACAAGTGTATGTTAAAAAATGTGACAAATGACAAAGTGACTACCCAATATTAACAACACCCAAACACAGTATGAACACTCCATGAGGGAAATCTTTTATCCAGAACTGCTGTGCCATATAAATAATAAGAACTGTCTTCAGAATGTAAGAATTATACCTAGTTATTTGAGTGTGCTGAATTCTAGCAACTTGTAGTTTTGCACAATCTGTCGAACCTAACAGAATGCAGCACAAAAAAGGATATGTTTCCAATTATTTTATTTTAATGAAATTTCTGAATTAGTGACAAATCAAGAATTATAAATTGTCAGAAAAATGTACCCCGATGAAATAAACACATACCTGAACTCCTTAAAACGTCATCACAATGGAGTTGATGGTCCCCAGGATACCCTCTGGGTCATAGGCCACCTCACTGTGATAAAGCAACTTCACAGACAGAAATAGAAAGCAACTCTCACTCACTGAGCATAAACATGCACCAACAAACTCTTGCACTAAATACAAACTTAAATGCATTCCAGTGGCCACTTTTTTTCTTTTTTTCTTTTTTTTTTGCTTTTGCTGTAGAAATTCATTACCAACTTATGGGGATGACAGGAAAATACTTGCAGCCAAGAAGGTATGTAGTGTGGACACTCAGACGGAAATGCAGAGCCCCAGAGCAAGCCTTGGACAGCAGCTGCCACCACAACAGCAGCGATCTCAGCAAACAGTGTGGGCCCAGACCTTGCTTGACACATCCCCAACGACTTTTACAACAATGCATAATACCTTTGTAATTTTCAGATTTAATCTTTCAGCATCTTCCTATCTTTGTTTAAGGCAAATAACATTTTAAAACACATTTGTATTTTTATTATAAAATAAATGTAACCATAGACATGGTAGAAATTTGGAAACATACAGTGTAGTAGATGTTGTCATGCACCCCCTAGGCCACCCCAGTTCTTTCAGGATGGAAGGATTCAATCTTCTAGTTGCTGTAAGTATTAATGGCCAAAAGCTCTTGGCCAAGGCCCTCTTTTGAATTTGTCCTTGACTAAAGAGTTTTGCCTCTCTAGGCTCACTGGGGGCAGTTCACATCCAAACAGGGAGAGAAAGAACCCAAACCCTAACTCAATTCTGAACAACTCTGAAGTGCCACCCAGCACCCTGAGATTTGCTGGGGCATTTGTTGCGACTGCAGTGGAGCTCAACTCCTCCCTGTGTCCAGTACTGCTCCCTTCATTCCCTAGCAGGTGTTGACCCAACAGGGGCTCCCTGATAAGCTTCCTTCATGTGAATCTCTGTCCCAGGGACTGCTACCAGTAAGTCTGAACTATGCTATTCATTTTACAGAATGCATTCTCACTTTCTCACTTTAAAATCCAAAATAATGTTTATATACTGCCCCATAATGACATCAAAGTCATTCAGTAGCAACTTTTCAAATAAAAATTAGTTCTCATCAGATTTGGTAAACAGACACAGTCTAGAGTCGGCTGGCTCTTTCTACTTTCCTTCCTCACAGAGACCCAGAGTTTCCACCCAAATAAGCACCAGTCTCACTCACGGCAGATGAAGGGTGGTGGTAGAGGTGATCATCTCCCAGAAGCCAGCGGTCAATGTAGCCAGCAGCTCCTCCAGTGCAGTTTGGATACTTTCCAAAATCCCCAATGCCACCAGGGCCAAGATAACCACTAGCAAAGTGAAAAGCATACATAAATGATTAGACCTCAGAAGGGACAATGGTATATATTGGCTATTTATGCAGCCCAATTTAAAGAGTCCCAAACAGAGTACCACCTTAAAACATCCCTCTGGCTCCATGCATGCTCACCAATGTCCTTCTAACTTGACTGCCCCCAACACGAGTAAGCAGGGAGGCTCAATTTCTATTCAAACTGACTCTCATACCACCTTCTCTGAATGCACACCACAGTCCTCTCCCAATGCCTTAAAAGAGAAGCAAAAGTGAAATAATTTCTTGACTTGAGAAATTTTAAAGCTATAAGCCCAGAACTTCTCACTTAGCAGAAAGCGTCATGCAGAAAGCGATTACCTACAAGGGCTCACTTACATAGGGCACCCAGGAACTGGCAAGAAGAATGTCAAGCCCAGCCAAATGCTTTCCAGCATCAGGATAAAGAGCCACTGGGGCCAACTGGATGTGATGTCTCGAAGAAAGAGGCAACTCCTCTCCTAAGCAGGAACAGAAAAATAAAACACACATGAACTAAATGCAAAGTGAATGGGACCAGCATACAGTATAGGTATTTGGGAAATTTCCAGTAATTCTATTCTTGGCCTTTATGATAATAATATAAAAATGTATTTGATATGCACTATGTTGTCTAGATGCACTCTCTCTCTATGAAATCTCACAGTAAAACATTACTTAAGTCAGCTATGGTGGCTCATGCCTGTAATCCCAGCACTTGGGGAGGCCAAGGCGAGATGATTATTTGAGCCCAGGGTTCAAGACCAGCATGGAAAACCAGCCTCGTCTCTACAACAAATCAAAAAATTAGCCAGGCATGGTAGTTGGTGCATGCCTGTAGTTCCAGTAACTCAGAAGGCTGAGGTAGAAAAATTGTCTGAGCCCAGCAGGTCAATGCTATGGTAGACGCAAGCATGAAACTACACTATAAGCCTAGACAATAGAATGGGAATCATACTCGGGGGGAAAAAAGCATTACTTAAAAACAAATCAGTGGACAATTTTATTCTTATATACAAAACAATTGAAAACTTATGCCCACATAGAAACTTGTACATAAGTATATCTGTATAGAAGCATTATTATGATAGCCAACAAGGGGAAACAAGTCAAATGTAAATCAGCTGATGAATGGATAAACAAAATATGATATAATCACAAAATTAAAAGGAATGAAGTGCTGAGACATGCACCGACATGAGTAAACCTCAAAAACTATTATGCTAATTGAAGGCAGCTAGACATAAAATAAAGTTGTTTAAAAAAGAAATTAGGCTAGGCACAGTGGCTCATGCCTTTAATTTCAAAGCTTTGGGAACCAGAGGCAGGAGGATCATTTGAGTCCAGGAGTTCAAGACCAGCATGAGTAACACAGTTAGAACCTGTCTCTACAAAAAAAATTAAAATTAATCAGGCATGGTGGTGCATGCCTCTAGTCCTGGCTACTCAAGAGGCTGAGGTGGGAGGAAAGTGTGAGCCCAGGAGCTCAAGGCTGCAGTGAGCTGTGATCATGCCACTGCATTCCAACCTGGGTAACAGAGCAAAACCCTGTCTCTAAAATAAGAAAGAAGAAAGAAAGAAAGGAAGGAAGGAGGAGGGAGGGAAGGAAGGATACATTTAAAAATTTTTAAGTAGAAAAAAAGAAATGTAAACTTTTGGGGCTGCTCTGGTTGAAGGAAGTTAGGTAGTCCTAAGTTCGGTGCCCCACCAAATCCCTCACTCAATGGAAAGGGCCCTGGTTGTACCTCACAAACCGCCAGACCCCACTGAAGAACAGATAACAGCTGCCTTAATGTACACAGCTAGTCAAACTCCATGTTCACTCGTGCCCATCTAGCCTCTCTATCTTGAGGAAATCTATAGCAGAGGATACAATACACTGACAGCAAAGGCAGAGAAGGAAAAAGTAACACACTCCAAAAATATGTGACTAAGCAATCATTACAGAAAGCACTCGGAGAACTTGGAATTTGGTACTGAATTTGCTAGTTACATGTCTTGACCACACAATCCCCCTACTGGGGATATACCCTGAAGAACTCAAATCACTCTATAAAAAAGATACCTGCACACGTATGCTTATAGCAGCGTTGTTCACAATAGCAGAACCTGGAA